ACCCACGGCCCGGCCCGACCCACGGCCCGGCCTGACCCACGGCCCGGCCTGACCCACGGCACACCCTGACCCACAGGTGAGGGTCCCGAGCCACCCCAGACCCACAGCACACCCCGACCCACAGGTGAGGGCCCCAGACCCACAGCACACCCCCTGGTCCCAGCTCTCCCATCCCGGCCCCTGACGCATTTTCTAAGGAAGATCCCAGTGGATTTGCAGTGAATTTATGGAAGTTGCAGTGCTTCTGACAGGCGGCTTTGGCATGAGCGATGGCCCAGAGGCCATCAACAGCCACATCTAAAACCATGTGGTGACACTGGGGTTTGGGATGGTCACTCCACTGCCCCACTGCCAGGGGAGCATGGCCAGCTCCCACTTGTGCCATCAAACCGAGGAATCTCTGCCTTTAATGGGTAACAGCAATTCCAGAGGTTAAACACACAAAAGACTGGAGTGAGGAGTAGATATGTGACACTGACATCAAACACAGCCCATTCTTTATTACTAATTTCTGAGTTACTTCAGACTGTCCATCCTGAAGACGATACCACAGCATTCCATCACCTCTGCACATGTGGGGATAAGGGGTGGCTGTCCCTTACCCAGACCACAACTGTTTCAGCCACAGCAGGTGGTTGGTGAAAACCCTCACACCTTACCCGTGGGCTGCAGCTTCTAGTCTAAGCACCCACGACAGCAAACAGGTAATGTCTGGCTCAGATCCCCTGGGATTCTAAAAGCCTGTTTAAATGCTTTAATTTTTACCTCATTAGTAGATTGAAGCATGGAAATAGTGACCACTTTGCTCAGCATAAATACAAATATTCTCAAAGTATTTATACATGCTTCCAATTCATATAGGTTATTCCTCCATACAGAAATGAAGTAGCTCAGAACTTAGTATCTGTGTGTAATTTTTAATCCATCCATGATTTTGCTCAAGTTTTACTTTCTTTTTGCAGGGAGTTTTGGAGGCAGAATTGCAACACAAGGTGGCAGCTGAGGGAGGGGCAGGCAGGGAAGGGCAGCCCGCAGTGGTGGTGCTGTCCCCGTTACCTTTGCGGTTCATGCCCATCTGGAGGCACTTGAGCAGCCGGCAGTACTGGCACCTGTTGCGCTGCTTGCGGGACATGACGCAGTTCTTGTCCCGGCTGCATCTGTACACACGCTTGTTGCAGATGCTCCTCTTGAAGAAGCCCTTGCAGCCCTCGCAGGAGATGATCCCATAGTGCAGCCCCGTGGCCCTGTCACCGCAGATCAGGCAGGTTCGCTGATCCACCCGCTCATCTGCAAGGCAAGAGGAAAAGCTTTGAAGGACCCTGGGGGTTCTGCCAGGTCGGTCTGACTGAGGGGCAGCCACTGTCAGCCTGTGAGGATCCATCCCACAGGGGCAGCTCCATCCTTCCCTTCCCCACTGCCAAGCAGGACCCTTGGGGCTCTCCCTGGCAGCCTCCATTGACCTTCCTGCTGTTCTTAGCAGAAAGGAACACAAACTCCAGTGGGGAGAAAAGGGCTCCAAAATGTCCTGCCTCAGCTGCCCAGAGCTGGGTGTGCAAAGAGAGAAACCTGGCAGACACCAGTGAGTGCAAAATCCTGTCACAGCTCAGACTCCAGGGGCACCTCTGGGCTTCAAGAGCCTCGCTGCAGAGCCACCGCCCAGAACCCAAGAGAACATCACTACAGAAACCACCATACAGATAAGCCACAGTGATGTGATTTTACTGATCCTTTCCCAAATCTTCAGAAGGCCTTTGGATGACTAAAAATGCAAATTGCAGGGCTCTCCTCAACAGGAGCTGTCACATTAAATTCAGTATTTTAAGACTCTAACACTGCTTGAGAGAGAGAGCAGAGACGATGCTGGGCTTGGTGAGATCTGCAGACAGCAATGTCAAACAGAAAGGAAGAAGTAAGTGATGGTGAAGAGCCCCAGGTAGTTAACCCAGAATCTCATCACCTCACACAGCATAGGGAGGCCTAAACCTCAATTCAACCAAGTCAGCTATGCTTAAAATAATGCCAGCAAGCATTATTTTACCAGCAGCTCTTCCTGTAGCAGATGTTTCACAGCTCAACAGTTTAACCCCCTGCATGCCAGGCCAAGCTGCCTCCAGCCCCCACCTCATGTTTTAACCCATTAAAATCCGAACAGTTGCAAACAGATCAGCACTGTAAAGGTGGAAGCTATTCAAATACATTCAGGGACACAGAAATCTGCAGTATTCCAGTATTGCCCATGGGGTTGCTTTCCCAAAGGTCAAACGGATGACTGGATTGCCCTGGCTGAGCCAGGCACTGAGAAAGGAACCACTCTGGTGCTTCTCACTCCATCACACCTTTCCTAGGGATGCTGGTTAAACCAGGCTGCTTCTGGTGTTCATTGGCCCAAAGGCAGAACAGTGCCATTGCCCTGGCACTGGGGACAGGAGCACCCACGGCCCAGGCGGGACCCAGGAGGTGGCACTGGCTCCCTGCAGCTGCCTGGGCACAGAGCAGGGCATGGCACCTTCCCATGCCCACCATCCACACTGGGAGCCAACAGGGAGCTCAGCAGCACAGCAGCACAAACCCACACCGTGCCTGGGGTGCTGCCCACACCCACTGCTCCTGTTTGGACACAAACCTTGAAAAACCCCAGCCTTTGGATGGGACTGGCTTGTGAAGATGAGCTGGGTCAAACTCACTGCAGCACAACACCACCAAGCCTGACTTTCCTCATCTAGATTTGACCAGGGAGATTTCTGAGACAAAGGTATTTATCTACAGGATGGATTTTTGGAGCAGCAGGATGTAAGAGTCACAGTGAAGTCTTCTCCAGCCTCAATAAAGCCCAAGCAAGCTGACAAAACAGGGTGTAGCTTCTTACTACTGCAAGCACATGTGAATGCAAGAGAAATGAATGAGCCAAATGTATTGGGAGCAGAAATTAAACCAGTTTTCAGTTACACAAGTCAAGTAAAAATCTAAACCAGCTGCTCCTACTCACAAGCAGTTTTCTCCAGAGCTTAAACCCAGTAGAAACCAGAACCAATCTGTGTTAATCTCTATAAGGTTTGCTATGCACAGCATGCACATTTGCACTGTTCTGCAAATTTCTCTGTTATAAAACATTAAAATAAAGGGATGAATAGAGGAAACACAAACTTTAAGGGAAGAAACATTCCTAATTTTCACCAGAACATTCCCAATTTTACATGACAGACCATCTCAGGTATGTGCTGAACCCAAAGGAATGTGGGTACAGCTCAGGAGTGGGGCTATCTGAGCATCTCTGAAGGGAGGCAGCTAAACATGACTTTGTAGTCACCAAGTGCATAATCTCCACCTTCAGCAATCTGATAAACGCGGGGAGGGGGCCAGGGATTAGCCAGGACAGAGGAGTCCTCTATCTGCAGGGTTTAGCTCAGCCTCAGCTTAACTCCTGGCCCTCCCCCTGCTCGCACAGCAGTGCCATAAATCCGGGGTGCCGGGGATCCTGGGGTCAGCAGCCACCAGGGAACCTCCACCGGGTCCCACACATGGCCAGGACACCCTGGGCTGCTCCAGCACCACAGCACAGCCCCCGGGGCTCCCCGCTCACCCTGCAGCCCTGGCTGACCATGTCAATGAGGGCTCATTTCCAGGCACAGCTTTTTTTTGTTGTGGGAAGAATAGGGCCGTCACCCAGCCAATGCGGGAAGCCCGGATGATTAAAGCGAGGAGGAATCAGAATCCTTCCCTTGCCATTCCCATCTCCCCAGTCGAAGGGGGAGACGGTGTGAACGGCCCCTTGGCCCCAGGAACTGCACACACCTCCAGCAGAAGCTGTTCCTTGGATTCCCAGATTGAAATTGGCCTTTGAGCAGCGGCACACACCGTGAACAAAGACACAGACCCCAGGGACCACAGAGGTGTCCGTACTCCCCACAAACCTGGCACAAACAAAACTGGGAGATGAAAAATGATGGCCTACAGAAAGTCTTAGAGGTTTAGATCTTTAAAAAATCCTGTAGGAACCAGGACCACATTACTGCCCTGTACCCATGGGTTTGCTGCTTCTGACCTTTACCAGTTTTCACCCCACGTAATGCAGAGCCTGGAGCGGGTGAAGGAAGGGAGAGATGGGGCAGAACCGCAGTGAACTTCAGAGAAATGGTAAAGCATGAGCAAATATAAAGCAGTTTTGCACTGAGGGTGCTCTGAACTCCCTTAACCTTGAAATTTCACTGGACTATCAAAACACATAATAAGAACAGCAATTTTTATGTGAAAAAGCCCTCCCTCGTCCCTGTCACCTCTCACCTCACTGATCTCTCTGGTTTCAAATGCTACACAAGACAACACAGATTACGACACAAAGCAACTGATAAGAAATTTTTTCAAATACCTGTTTTATTTCAGAGAGAGAGCTGAGAAAGCTTGCCCCTGCCCCCCTTCCCAATTTTCCTGATGGCTACTACATTTAACAAACTCATACACGGGATATTCTGGCTTTGTTCTCACAACCCATTGTAGCAGGGGCCACTAAATCAAACAGTTGCTGCTACGACAAAGGCACTCACAAAAATCTCAACCTCATCTTGAACCCTGAAGATTTTTATGGCTACTCCCTCACTAGCCCCTCCCCAAAGCCACATTAAAGGATGTATTGTTTTCAGAGGTCATGGTAGGTTTCATACCACATACAATGTAAATTCTCCAAGAATATGATGATGTTACACAAGAAGCACAGGAGATGGAGTAAAAAAAAGGGAAAAATCTCTCCTCATCTATGTTTTAGAAGACAAACAGTAAAAGCAATACATTTAATTTTTCAAGAAACTGGCTTTTCCCCTCAGCAAAATGAGCAGTCTTGATAATTTTTTTAAAAAAATTCCTATGAATTTCCAAAAGGAAATACCTTACAATCCTGCTGAAACACACAGCAAAGACCCAAACAGAAAACACTACAGCACGTGAATGAGATTCTAAAATACACAGCAAATAAATTAAAGCATGGGGACACATTCCCAGCACATCCCTGTCGCTGCTCCCACCTGTGCCAGTCCTGTGGACAAACACCCCGAGCGGGCAGTGCTGGGAGCGGCACTGCTGCGTTCTGGGAGGGGACCTGGCTGCCCCCGAGGGTCCCCAGGCTGCCCCCGAGGGTCCCTAGGCTGCCAGGAGCTCACACCCACCCCTGGAGCCCCGGCAGAAAACTCTACAGCAGCTACAGCTCCCTGTGAGATTTACCTTGCAAACCTGGTGGTGTGCTGGTGCAGTCGGATTGTGGGACTTTCCATATCTTTATGATAGAAGAGAAAGACTTTATTTCCAAAAGTAAGGCCAAAAGTGAAGGCACATCCCCTCACCCAAAGCCCAGAGCAGATGGTGCTGAGCTTTGGCCTGGTTGGAAAGCAAGAGGGAGAAGGCAGAAAGCTGCCGCCAGCAAAACTTCCCATTTATACAACAGAACGTGAATTTACAGCTAAGAAAATCTTTCATAGCTGAAAAAAAAATAATTACAGGCAACACTCAGCACTGCAATTCATTAATATATGCAGCATCTTTTCAGCTGTGTGCCAGTTATTTGCTTTGTGATTAACTGACCCTATGGCAGCCCCCTGCAGCACCCTTTAGCTGGGTTTAAATCTCAAGCTGCTAAATACCAGCTGTTTGGGGAGGGGGGCGGAGGGGGAGATCTCACACATGTGTTACTTAAATCCCAACCGCATCTCACTCTTCTCTCGCCTCTGGTGATGCCTCGAACACAAACAAAAGTGTTGGGGGTTTCTTTTTCTCTTTATTTATCCTAACAATGTTTTTCATTTTCAATTTTTAGTTTTAGGAAAAGCATCCTGTGAAATTCAAGCCCCAGAACTGGAGGAACTGCCCTCTCACTGTGGAGCACTGCATTGTCCAAACAAGCCCACCCCCAAACCAGGCGCATTTGCTTCAGGGGCTTTTTTTTTTTTTTTAACTTTTAATCGATGAACACAGGGATTAAATTTTCTGTGCGTTGGCCCCTGCTCGGGACGGCAGCGAGCTCGGTGGCAGAGCCCACGGTGGGGTGCACAAAGGGCCAGGGCGTCCCGCTCCTGCTCCCCATCGACCCCGCAGATGGGGGTCCCAGCCCCACGCTGGAGGCGGGCGAAGGCACCGCGTCCTGCCTGGCCAGCCCGGCTCAAAGAGCAGATTGAGCTGCCCCGGATCAGGCCGGCCATGGTGAGAGCTGAATAGAATTAACCCTCTGTGAACTAAAACAAAAACATTTGTGTGCCCAGCTGGGAGAAAGGTTAATTTAAATGGACAAGCCTCCTGTAAAAAAAAAAAAAAAAAAAAAAAAAAAAAATAGAGGAGGGGAAAGAAAGAAAGAAGCAGCCTGCAATCTTATTCTCTATACTGTAAAAAGATGTTCTACTCAGAGAGAGCCTCATTTTAAAATGCAGCAAGTGAGTATTGGAAGGAAAAGAGGAGAAATGATACACTAGAGGAATGGTCAGTGCATCTCACTCAGTTCTCCCTTTCCAGTAATGAAATCCCAAACTCAACGGTCTTATTCCACCCTGATTCTGTTTCTGCCCAAGCAGAGTTCAGTCAAAAGAAAACCCCCATAAAAAACAAACAAACAAAAAACAAAGAAAAAAAAAAACAAAACAAAAAACAAAACAAAACAAAAAACCCCAGAAATCATCAGCTGCTCCTTTTCGGCTCGGTATAAATCAAGAGCGTGCAGCTGATGAAACCCGTCACCCTTCCCTGCCTGGGACGCATCTCCATTTGCATATCAAAAACTCATCTGTGAAATGCAACTTCTCCCGGGCAGGGGAGCCCCGAGAGCAGCGCCGCGCCCCACGGAGCGCCCGGCCCCGGGGAGCTGCCGGGGGACCCTCGCCCCGCTCCATTGTCCGGGACGGGGAGAACACGGACCCTTCACTCCAGCCAGTTGTTGCACAAAGAGTTTGGAACAAAAGCCCGCACACCAAAATGTGCCGATGGCCGGGACCGCAGCCGGGGACAGACACGAGGGTCTGTGTGCTGCCCACAGCTCCGAGTTTAGTCGCTCCCTCAAGCGATCAACTTTCGCTGATCCAATTTTAGCGAAAGAAAGCTCCGTGCCCGCTCCCTGCCCTCGCTCCGGCGCGGCCGCACGCTCTGAATGAACGACTGGGTCGGACTAGTTTGATTTTTTTAATTGATACTTTACAGGATGAAGACCTGACTTACCTGCCCTCAAACCTATTCTCTTGGCCCTACTGAAGCTGTCCAGATGTGCAACCGCTGAGAGCGATGCTGAATTAAGAAAATCTGAAGCTAACGCCACCCCCAGCAGTCGGGGCTGCGGGAGCAGGGCCTGGGCACAGCTGAAACAGTGACTTCTCCAGCGTGTGTTACCAAACACGCAATGCTCTCTCCTGAAAGATTTCATCCGTACTCTGAAGGTGAGCTTTACCGCTGTCTTCAGTCACAGAGAGGAAAAAAAAGCTGCAAATACCAGGGGGAAGCAGCGCCGCTCCCGGGAGGGCGGGCGGGCGCTACCGAGCGCCTCCGTGACCCCGAAACTATCCATAATTAACGATACTAAAAAAAGCTCCTCCAGATGGTCGGAGGGATTAGGAAGTTTAAAATATAAACAAATTAAGCCACAAAACAAACTAATACCC